AAGACCTTCCCCATTTCCAGTAAGGAAGTTTATGCATTTGATGTAACACAGCCTCACCTGTTTCTGACGCCTATTCCTGGACCATTTTAGGTACCTCAATACACAGCTACTTGCACAGTTTGTGTTGTTTTCTCCCTTTCCTTCTACTGCCTGAGTTTCTAGAGCTTTCTGTAGGAAGACTATGGGCTGTTGCAAAAAACTGACATGTCTCAGTCAGTTTATGGGCTTATGATGAAACGCCATAGACTGGATAGTTTACAAAGACTAAAGGTTTATTTCTTATAGGTCTGGAGTCTGGAGATCAAGGAATTAGTGTTACTGGTGTCTGGTGAGGGTTGGTTTGTGTTTGTCTCCCTCAGGAGAAGAACACTATCTCCTCATGTGGTAAAACGGAGATAAGAACACTTCTCCGAGCATGGAGCTCTTCTGGAAGAGTGCTGATCCACATGAGTACCCACCCTCATGAATGAGTCACCTCCAAGAGTCATGACTTTTGACACTTTTTCATTGGCATCATCTTTTAACATTTATGTTGGAGGAGCATCGCGATTTAAGCTATAACGTTACATGGCATTAGTGTTTGATGCTTTGTACTATTGATACCTAATAAGTGGCTGGTACACCAAAATATTGGACATTATTACTGTTGAAACTTAAAAAGCATTAGGTCAAGTGAAATCAAATACATTCTCTGTTACAATTTCCTATGCAATCTTGTTTATGCACACCACCTGACTAAATTTTAGGCATCCTGGGACTACGTGAAGCTACATCACTTTTGCATCCCCCAGGCTGTCAGTAGCAGGTTTCCAGCAGATACTTGTTGAATGAGAATGTCTGTTTTAACTGCGTACACAGCATAGACATAACTTATTCATTGTGGGAGTCTTAAGTACTTCAAGGCCACGGAATTCACGAAAAGTCTTATGTTTATTTTTATCAGATATTGGAATCGAGAGCATTTTATTGTTATTTATGCCTTAGAAAATCAGCCATCTATGCCATTTTTATATCCAGATAGGAGTATTTGGTTAATAGACTTGTCTTGTTTCTAGACCATCTCACTGGGAGACCACCTATGTAAGGCGTGGTTAATAAAATTCTCTTGAACTTCTATATAAAATCAGTAGTACCAACATGTTTTCTTCTTTCTGTCTGTCATGATGTGAATGAGTTGCTTTCTTCATAGGAAAGACTTAGAAAGAGGGACCTGCTCTGCGTCAGACTGTGAAAACCCGAGAAAATACCTCTTCAAGGACCTGGATGGCACAGCCCTGGGTCTGCCCGCACCGGTTTCGGTATTTCCCAAAACGGAGGCAGAGTGGACTGGATCCTTTTTCAACACAGGTCAGTTGTATCACACGTGATTCCCGGAGAGGCTGTGGATGCGAAGGAGGTGATCAGGCTGGGTTGACGGGTGGGGATAACATCTACTGGGTGGGAGCTGAGCTGCAGAGCTTGAAACCGCACACACCGCGGGAGCTCCAGGTCCTTACGAGGCAGTGTGACGTCCCTGCGGTGCCCTCCCTGAGCCGTTGACATCCTGGGAAGCAGGACGCTGCCGTCACTCAGTTCTGCGCACAGGTAGGAGAACAGCGCTCATGCGAGCCTGGCCTCCTGGGCCTGAGGCCACCCTGGAGCTCCGCCCTGCGCTGCCTGTGCCCTGGAACAAGCACGTGTATCTTTTTCTATATAATTCTTTGGATTACTGCCTCAGAGCCCACCTGCCTTTTCCCTGAGGATTAAAATGCTCTCCACACTCGGGAAAGCATGGTAAAGTAAATGCTGTGAGGTTGTTTCAGTTTTCTCTAATTGTTCCCTGAGTTGTGCTATTCAAAACTCTTCCTTCTTTTGTTTATACAACCAGAGACCCAGTACCTATTAATTTTTGGTGTTAGGTCCCTAGAAAGCAAATTGTCTATTTCCACTAGCGGTGAAACTTCAATTCAGCCGCAGACAAACCTTAATAATTGTCCCCACTGTCTCTCTGAATTATTGGATGGCTCTTTCCAGAGTTCTTTTCTCGCGCACCTTGAGTTCTCAATGTCTGACTATCCCAGGATATAGCCCTAGACTATTTTCCTCCTTGCCCTAACTTTGTGGTATCAGACCAAGTTTGAAATTCCGTTCAGTGCGGATGAACCCTGAGTTTTATCACCAGCCAAGACGGATCCTGAACTCTGATCTAGTACATCCGTATGACTATTCCGAGAAGTATTTTGGGCATATCAGACTCATTATGTCCTAGTGTGATTCTCCATATCTTTTCCCACCTACAATTTATTTATTGCTTCGTGGTCCTTACTTCAGTAGTTGACAGCACCAGCCATGAGGTTAAACACTCTCCTAGGACAGCTCCTTTATTTTTCTTTTCTCTACCCCGTACTCAGACCTTTTATTTCCGCCGCTACCCCAGCTCTCCTCTAGCTCTCCTCCTCTTTCACCTGGCTAGGGAGTATCCTCCTCGCTGATCATTTTTTCATCCTGGCATTATGTAGTCTAGTCTTCACACAATAGCCAGGTTGATCTTTTTCCCTTTTCCATACATTTCCATCCACTCAGAAAGAAATCCGAATGGAGTGCCTACAAGACTTGTAGCACTAAGCTTTTGTTTCTTATTTCGTGTGATTTCCCTTCTGTTACCAACCATGCTCATTCTTACTTTAACCTAAAACATTATGCCTACCTTACTCTTTGCTCTTGACTTCCTCTATTATTGCTCCTTTGAGAGCTGATTCCTTTTGTTCAAATAAGGATTCCTTGGGGAAGCGATCCTGACCACTCATCTAAAATCACCCTGTGCCCATTATTTTCTAGCTCCGCTCTGCCTGCTCTGTTCTTGTCACTCCTATTATGTCATATTATATTACATGCATTCGTAGCTTACTTGGTAACTTACTGTTTGCCCCTTTAGAATACAAACTTGTTGAAGGCTGGAATTTTGTGTTGCTAACTAATGTGTATTTTGGAAGAAGCTCAATGACTATTGGTTGATTGGCTGATCAGATAAACTGATTACGTATACCAGGGTGAATATTGCTGCAGTCTGTTCCAAGTCACTCCAGAGCATGCAGAAAGAATTAGGGCCTTCAGGTTACTTGTTTAGGGATCGTTCTGATATGGAAACATGAAATGCAGATAGCCCTAATTAAACAATTAATTAATTAATTTGGTACAGGGTCTTGTTATACAGCTTGGACTTGTTTCAGCCTCTCCAGGGCTGAATTACAAGTGTGTACCACCAAGCCTGGTTTTAGCATGGCATGCCGGGGGGGGGGGCTCCAGCCTGGCATAGCATGCAGTTTCAGGGACTGAACCCAGGTGCTTAGACTACTGAACTATCTCCCCAGGCCTAGTTGTCTTTTTTTCTTTTTTTTTTGTATTTTAAGAATGGGTCTACAGGGTGTTCAGGGTCTCACTATTAGATTGAATTTGTAGTGATCCTCCTGTTTACAGCCTCCCAAAAGCTGGCATTATAGGCATGCCCTACCATGCCCAGTCTCAACTGCCATCTTAACACACCCCAGAGACAGGGCTGGCACTGCAGGCCCAGGGATCAAACCCCTGGCTCTTGCTCCTGCTTGAAGTCACTTTAATCTGCTGAGCTATTTGGCCGGCCCTTCCCAGCCCTAGTAGAAAAAGATCTACTAGGTCTTTTTATTAATAAAAAGATCTTTTTATTAATTCATAAATAATTAATTAATAAAAAGATCTTTTTATTAATTCATAATTAATTAGTAAAAAGATCTTTTTATTAATAAAAAGTTATCTTTTTATTTCCATCTGAACTACTGGTATAATACAGCATTTCACATTGAGATCTTTTTCTACATATTTCTTTGAATCACTATAAAATTTCACACCTAACCAGTTCTATTTCTTTTGCCTCCTCTCACATTTTTCTGTATATTGAAGGCTTTATCTTTGCAACAGAGTGACCATGTGGGGCTACCACACAGGCTTTAATGTTCCGCGAGGGTGTACAAATTCTGAGTCAATACTCGTTGAGTTATATTGGTTGCATCTGTGGAAGAAAACAGTAAATAGATTTTTGCATAGAAAAATGAAACCCAGAGACACAGTTTTTCTTTTTTTAGCCATCTCAGCCTGCCCTGAGGATAGGGCTGGCATGGCATGTGGTGTCAGGGATTGAACAGCAGTCCCCTGCCCCTGCCTAAGCTGGTGTTTTAGACCCCTGAGCTATCTCACTGGCCCCAGAGACACATTTAAAACACATAGATATTGAGAAAATATATACTGAAAAGTAAAATGAAACTAAAATAAGATGATAGGTGATATCTATTCTATTTACTCTTAGATCTACTCAGTTTTTCTAAAGTAAGATTTCCCGTTGGTTTTAGGAATTACTGTACCATTGTACATTTTTTTTTTTTTTACTATAGGGAAAACATCCTAACGTGAATAATTATGTTTTTCTCTAGCCTTGGTTTTTGATGGGACTCCATTTCTGCAAAATTCGTAACAAGGGTTTTTTCCTGATGTATTAAATAAATATTATAGCTCATCCTCTTATAAAAGGAAAAAGAAAAAAGGCTGATGACAGTGCCTTATTAGACCTTGTACAAAGCTCAGAACCAACTAGTTGAGGTGAGGGACAGTCCTAGGAAGCACGAGTGGGGAGCTAGGGAACGTGCTGGGAAAGAAGAACCCTGAAGGATGACACGTTGTGAAACTGGCTAATCACGGTGAAGGCTGAAGCCCAGCTCTGACAGGAGCCCTGGGAGACCATTACCTGACCCCAGTGAGTCAGAAGAAAGCGAGCGTGTGCGGAGAATGTGTCCGCACTCGCCAAGCAGGAGAGAAGCTTGAGGACCCATGAGCTCTTCAGCACCTGGCTTACCCGCAGTGTAGGCCAAGAGTGCTCTTTCTATAGCCAGCAAAAACAAACAACCAAAACCCAACCCCCAAC